AAAGAGTTAGAGCGAGGATACCATAGTCCATGAGATACAGTCCCAATGAGATATCGAATGATTACTGCTGTCAAATGTGATTCCTTAGGAGCTGACTGAAACCTGGCACATTTACATACACTGAACATAATATCCGGTCGACTTGCTATCAGGTACAGTAGTGATCCAATCATCCTACGATATTTAGTTTCATCAACAGGAATTCCCTGTTCATCTTTGTCTAGATTTGTGGAAGATCTCATTGGTGTGCCAATGGATTTTGCATTGCTCATACCAAATTTTTGAATCAGTTCTTTTGTGTATTTGGTCTGAAATATAAAGGTTCCTTCTTCAGATTGTTGAATTTGTAGTCCAAGGAAGAATGTTAGTTCTCCCATCATGCTCATTTTGAATTCGCTTTGCATAAGATTTGAAAATTCCTTGCACATAAGAGGGTTAGCACTACCAAATATAATATCATCAACATAAATCTGAATAATGAGGTTACCTTGCGATGATCTTTTAATAAATAAGGTAGTATCTATTTTACCTCTTGTGAAGCCATGATCAACAAGAAAGGAACTAAGTCTATCATACCAAGCACGTGGAGCTTGCTTTAGCCCATATAGCGCCTTAGTGAGCTTGTATACATGGTATGGGAACTTTGAATCTACAAACCCAGGTGGTTGTTTCACATATACTTCTTCCTCAATAAATCTGTTTAAAAAAGCACTTTTAACATCCATTTGAAACAGCCTAAATCTTTTAAATGATGCGTATGCCCAAAGAATTTGTATGGATTCCAAACGAGCTACTGGAGCGAAGGTTTCATCATAGTCGACTCCTTCCTGTTGTGAGTATCCCTGAGCAACTAGTCTGGCTTTATTTCTTACGACTTTTCCATCCTCGTTCAATTTATTTCTGAAAACCCACTTTGTTCCGATTACAGAAACATTTTCAGGTTTGGGTATCAGATTCTACACTTGATTCTTACTGAACTGATCTAACTCCTTCTGCATAGCTTGAACCCAACTTGAATCTTTTAGCGCTTCCTCTATCTTCTTTGGCTCAACTTGAGAAATTAATGCAATATTTGCTTTCTTTTTGAGAGCTACCCTGGTTTTCATTCCTTCATTTGGATCCCCTATAATAAATTTTTGAGGATATTCAGGCTCGCTTCTCCATTCATTTGGACGCACTACATTAGCAGTTGACTCAATTGGTTGATCCGGTATACTGTTGCTGATTTCACCAGTTGACTCTGTCACAACAGATATATCAGTTAACTCTTTAGATTTGCTTGTCTCCTGAATTTCTTGAGCTTGATCTTCATCACCTGCAATAATTCCTTTCTCGGCCAAGGGATTATTTTCATCGAATATAACATGTACTGATTCCACACATAATGTGTGTTTATTATAGACTCTAAAAGATCTACTATTTAATGAGTAACCCAGAAAAATACCTTCGTTACTTCTTGGATCGAATTTTCCAAGATTGTCCTTACCGTTATTGTGGATAAAATACTTACTTCCAAAGGGATGGAAGTAACTGATATGGGACGTTTACCTTTCCATAATTCATATGGGGTCTTCTTCAGAATAGGCCTTATGAGGCATCGGTTGAGAATGTGACATGTGTACTTACACCTTCTACCCAGAAGTAATTTGGTAGTGAATGATCTAGTAACATGGTTCTTGCCATATCTTGGAGGGTTATATTCTTTCTTTCTACAACCCCATTTCGTTGTGGTGAGCGAGGTGCAAAGAAATTATATTTGTATCCCTGATCATTACAGAAATCTTCAAACACTCTACTTTCAAATTCTCCTTCATGATCACTCTAAATTGTTGAGATCAGATATCCCTTTTTCTCTTTCAACCTTTTTGCAGAAAACTTCAAAATTTCTTAATGCTTCATCCTTATGAGATAAAAAAATTACCCAAGTGAAACGTGAATAATCATCAATAATAACAAAAACATACCTCTTTCCTCCCATACTAGCAGTTCTAGTAGGTCCAAATAAATCCATATGAAGTAATTGCAAAGGTTTGGAAGTGGATACTATATATTTGCTTTTGAAAGAGTTTCTGGTCTGCTTACCCATTTAACATGCATCACAGATATGAGTTCTAGAAAAATTCAGTTTGGGTAGACCAACAACTAACTCATGTTTGGACAATTTTTCTATCAAATGCATGCTAGCATGACAGAGTTTCCTATGCCACTACCATGGATCATCAGACATAGAAGCTAAGCAAATATGACCATCTATCTTTTCAAAACCATCAAGAATATAAACATTTCCATACCTTTTTCCAGGAAGGACCATTTTACTTGATTCATCTTCAATAGCACAACCTGTTTTCTTAAAATTTACCTCATATCCTGAGTCGCAAAGTTGACTTATGCTCAAGAGATTGTAGTTGAGGCAATCGACAAGATAAACTTCTGTGATGTCACAGTTGTTATTGAAGAAAATTGTTCCAGTACCAATTATTTTGCGTTTTGAGTCCTCCCCAAACTTAACACTTCATCCATCAATTATTGTAACTTTTTTGAATAGGTTTTTGTCGCCTGTCATATGACTGGAACACCCACTGTCTATATACCATTTTCTTTTGCGGCTTATTCTGTGGTGTTCCTGCAAAATAAAATGATTACTTTCTTTTAGGTACCCAAGCTTGCCTGGGTCCTGGAGGGTTAGTGTTACCAGATTCAGAATTGTTTTTTGGTTTCCAAACCCATCCTGAAATGTTTGTTTTACAAAAATGATAAAAGGAATATTTATGCCCACTTTTGTTACGGTAATGGAACGTAACTTCTTACCCACCTTTAGGTCTTTCATTAGTGTTAGTACTAGTCGACTTAGTTCTAGCTGGTCCTTTTCCAGTTGACTTATAAGTCGTTTGGTTTGGCCTAATAGAACTGTGACTGTTGGATTTGCGCATGCCATTGAGTTGCATTTGCAATTTCTCAAACTCTTCTTGAAGTACTTCTTTTTCGATTTCACATACTTCATGTTTGAGTTTCCAGTCTTTAACTTCTTTACTAAGTCTCTTAAGCTCATTCATTATTTTTTGAGACTATTTTAAAGTTAAATCGAGAATATCCTGCAATTCATTGCACCTTTCACAGTTATAAGTTCTTACCTCACTTGTTTCACCTCGTGCCATGAAACAATTTTCATTTTCTTCATCTGAAGTGTCCTCATCTGTCCAGCATCCTGAGGATTTGTTCATTCATTTTCTAGAATCGTCATGAAGCAGAGATTTGCTATTTCTTCATGGTCTGAATTGTCCTCATCACTCTAGCTTTTGAAGGATTTGTTCTTATTAAAGCCTCTAGAGATCTTCCTTTTCAGTTCTGGGCACTCAGCTTGAATGTGCCCAAATCTTCCACATTCAAAGCATTTCCCATCATTCTTGTCCTATTTGTTGTATTTCCTGGATTGTCTTGGTGTGATTCTTCCTTTCTTTGTATTCCAGAATCTTCTCATTAATCCATCCATGTTTCTTGATAGCATAACAATCTCTTATTGTAGAGCTTCAAGATCATCATCAATTTCGTTTTCAGCTATTTCAGTTGATGTCTTGAATGTGACTATTTTCTTTTTTTTCTTCTTGACTAGTCTTCTTGAGATGCGTCTTTTCAAAAGCTATGAGTTTTCCTCGTAGCTCATCATAAGATAATTTTTTTAGATCCTGAGATTCCAATGTGACTACTTTGGTCTGCCAAGTGATTGGCAAACTCCTGAGAATTTTTCTAACTTGATCACCACTGGTATAGGGCTTGCCAAATGCCTTTAGATGGCTAACTATTTTGCTAAATCTGGCAAACTTTTCTTCAATGGATTCTGCTTCTTTCATTGAGAAGAGTTCATAATCATGAACCAGCATGTTGATATGTGTTTCCTTTACTTTGCTGGTACCTTCATATGTGACCTCAAGCTTGTCCCACATTTCTTTGGTTGTGTCACAACTTGAGATTTTTTCATATTCTTCACCACTTATAGCATTATGAAGAAAATTTCTCGCTTTATTGTTAACTTGTACCACTTCTATTTGCTCTTTTGTATATGAATCTATATCTTCAGGATCAGCAAGTGGTGGAGTAGCAGCTGGTAAGGGATAGTTCCCCTTTTTGATGACTCTCCAAACTTTGATGTCATAGGCCTTGGCAAAGATCTCTATCAGCACTTTCCAATGGGAGAAATATTGTCCATTGAAGCATGGTGGTCTAACTTGTGAAGTTCCTTCCTGAAAAAGAGCTCCTATGATAACTTGATTTGCCATGATTTTTTCTCACAAGCTGTTAAGCAAAAGTAGAATGTGAGCCTTGCTCTGATACCAATTGAAAGTACAAGAAGGGGGGTGAATTGTATATTTTTAAACTTAATCACTTATTAGTTGACTAGTTTATCAATTAGTCGACTGGATGTAATGAGTTAACAGTTATAACGACAGAAATTAAGATGCAGAAAGCAAGTGTAGGAATTAAAGACACCGGAATTTTATACTAGTTCGGATTCAATGTGAATCCTAGTCCAGTCCCCTTGGGTTGCAAGGGAGTTCTCTTTAGTAAATGCATTTCTCCGAGTACAGTGGAAATGACTTGATAACTCAGTTTCTCTAACACTCGTTTCTTTTTTATACAATGCCTCACCAGTGTTGTACTCTCCTTTTTTCTCTGACTTGTTACACAACAGATCTTAGAGAACTACAATGTTTATTTGCAGTAGAACAAATAGAGGGTTTTTGGTTCGATCAAAGTATGCTAGTCTAAGGTCTAGAGCTGGGTATAAATACTTTGGTGAAAATTGATTGTTGACGGGGCTTGGCAACCCAAGAGATTTGATCCTTGGAAAGAGATTGATTCTTTCCAAGAATAAGATAGCTAGTCGTTGCTCTTCCTTGATATCCTTCCTTCAACAGTTGTTTATAATGAAGGTTTGCTCCTTGATTGTTGGTCCTTCCGAAATTAGCCGCTTAGCAATCTTTACAGGATCTTCGATCTTCCGGATATGCTGGCCTTGATTAATGCCTTAAGTTTAGGCTTGCTTGATTCTTTCCATCACAGCTGCCTGTGATCTTTGCTGATTGATTTCTTTCTTTAGGCATCCAGATTTGCTAATTGATTCATAGTCTTTGTTGATTGATTTCTTTCCTTAAGTATCAAGATTGACTTCAGCGATCTTATAGTATCTTCTTGATTCCTTGTTCTTCTGTAATTGATTTCCTGCATAGATATATTATTTGCATCATTAAAACTAGATCAAACAAATAGAAGGTTCAGTTGAATGCCACACATACTTTTTGGCTAGGACGCAATTATATGCATTCTCTTTGTAAATAAAACCAAACATAATTAGCACTGATGCGGAAATTACCAGAGAGAGAATGAAACAATTTCTATATATATACCCCTCAAGAAAATTTCCATGCCTAAAGTAATCAATAACATCAAATATTTTCCAAGAAAATACTAAGTGTAGCTACAAAATGTTTCATTCTTGATGCAAAGGAACAATCTCTCATAAGCCAAAGCCATCTTCTTTGCAGTGAACATAGAAGTTGCATATTCCCTACAAGCTTTTCCTCTTTGTGCTAATTTCTCTCTTCCTTCTTCAACCACTTTTTCAAGTGCTTCTATCAAAGACTCCACATTTGGAGAAAACATAAATCCAAATTCATCATCCACAATAATTGTGCCCTTTATACTAGGAAACCTTGAAGCCATAACTGGTTTCCCACTCATCATTGCTTCCATTAATGTAAGATCAAGCCCTTGTGGTCTAAGTGTAGGGTTCACAAAAATATCTATTGAGTTATAGAATCCTCTTAACTCAGATGGGGTCATTGAACCTAATGCTATAACTTGAGGTCCTAAATCTTTGTACCTTTGTAACCAAGGTCCTGACCCTGCTACTATTAAATAAACATTAGGGTATTTTTCTTTGAGTTGTGAAAATGCTTCAAAAAGTAAAGGGTGCCCTTTATCCTTTACCAATCTTCCAGCTACACCTAGTACTATGCTTGCATTTTGGGGCACACCTATTTTGGATCCAAAGTCATGGCCTAGTCTTGAATCTTCACAGTATTCTTCTTCATCCACTCCATTAACAATCACATGGACTCTTCTTCTAGGAATTTGATAGACATCTCTAAGCATTTCTCCACAGCTATCACTTATGGCAACATGGTGTGCATAGTTTTGAAAAAATCGAATTTCATTCAACACCTTTGGAATCATGCCTTGTAGGCTTTGATTAAAAGCAGGTGTCATAGACTCAATGGGATTCCTTGCTAAATCTTGGAAGATGCTTGAATGTACACTCTCTAGAGCTATTCCATGCCAGGATACCACGAGATTCGAAAGGCCAAGAGCTATGTGACTAGGCAATGCCACGCTTTCCGAGTGAATTACATCAAATTTTTCTCTTTCATTTTCCTCTTCGTATTGTTCCCATGCCTTATTGTAACGCCACTTCCCTGGTTCGCCCTCGTGCCAATGAATAGTTGGTGAAAGATATGGACTTAAGGCAGAGTCATCCATCATTGGTGGTGATGTGAAGACATGCACCTTGTGGCCACGACGCGCCATAGCCATGTGCAACGTATGGGCATGACGTTCCATGCCACCTGGGGTGGCACTCGTAGGCCATTTCCTAGAAAAGACCGCGATTCTTAGCGTTTCTAATGGGGGATTTTTATCAATAAACTTCAAACGATTCCATGAAAATTCAGCATCACGTAGATCACCGGACCAAGACTCGATATTCGAAGAAGAGGTGGTGCAAATAGAGTTAGTAGGCGTATGGAGGAGACGAAGGATAGGAATGGTGAAAAGAACAATGAAAAATAAGGTGGTGCAAAGTTTCGAATTAAGAGAGAGACGGGGCTTTTTAGGCTTGTTGAAGGCCATTGTGTTCGAGTATCAAAAAATGACGGGGGTTTGGAATTATAGCTGTGACATTGTATATAATGAAGGCTGGATTTTTCAAAGTTGAACTGCTAAGGAAAGTGGTGGTGGGAAAGTTTGGCAAAAATCCACGCACTATAAGCAAGTGCACTTGGACTGTTGGATTGGCATTTTGCTTGCTTTTAGTGCGTTCCTCACGCTTCTTCTGAAAAATTAAAAAGTTGGACATGCATTATAGTGAATGAAGTTTCATGTGATGGTTCTGACTTCTGAATGAATTTTAGGTATAAAACAGCCTAAACGGACTGTATTGGCGATATTACAAAAGAGTAAGATAAAATTTAAAAATAATTACTCCATCCGATTCTTTTCATCTATCACTTTACCGGAAAAAAAAAATAATCGAAACTTTTTGTCATCTTAAAAAATAAAGAAGACAAT